GCCGGCTTGGCAATCACGGCCACCATGACAGCTCCAGGAACGGACGGCACCAAGACATCCCCAAGGAACCGGGACTGGTCGAAGGAGCAAGGGGTGCCCTCCTCCTCGAGGACAACGCTTGCAAGAAGACGCCCTCCAGGACCGGCGGGGTGGCGGATCCTACTCCAGCTGCCTCAGAGAAGCTCGATGAGACCCACGGTGCCACGGCCGCAGCACTCAACGGCTCCAGCGGCGAAAGCTAGCCCTGTGCAAGGCCTGGTTGCTTTGCTCCTGACAGACGTCGAAAGGGAGGGAAGTCTGTCCTCATCACCGCAGCAGATAGACCAAAACAAGAAGATAAAAAAGATGAAGAAGAAAGGGTGGAAATAAACAAATAAGGCCACTTGGCGCGTTTTAAGACGGCGTTCTCGGACGACGAAGGAGCAACCTATCTTGAAAGCTAGCAGGCATTAGGAGGCAGTGATGTTGTAGTGTGTAGCTTTGCTTACAAAGGGTGCTGTGTTGAAGAGCGGTTTGTCGTCTACGGCAGTTATTCCGGCCCCCGCCCACCCCACAATTTTCCGACAACGTCCTCTTTCCAGAACGTATTTTTCAAATCCCTCTCCCAACCAATGGCTCTTTAGAGGAAAAAGGCTATCAAAGGAGGAAAACCGAGACAGGCTTTTATACTAAGACCATCAGAAGAGCCTTGCAGCCGGATCAAGCCAGAGTGAGGACATCTAGTCCAGCGTCCTGTTTTCATGGTGGTCCACATGCGCCGATGGAAAGCCTGCAAACAAGGACTGCAGCAGCACACTTTGCCATTTGTGATTCCCAGCGACTTAGTCTTCAGAGGCACCTTGCCCCCAACAGGGCATGTAGAACACAACCACAGTGGCTCATAGCCCCTGATACACCTATCTCAGTCTCAGTCAGTTTTATTGCACATAGCCAAAAGCGGCCGCAATGTACACAGAATTATTTGACAATTAAAAGAAAATATACTGAATTGATAAAAAAGACTTAAAACATTTATATTATTAAAACATTACGTACTCTAAACAGAGCTATAAAAGTACCCCAATGTACAAATAAAAACATTAAACTATAAAATCTGTAAGCTAAAATCATCACATGGTCACTAATGTTAAAAACAATATCAATTAAGACAGTGTGCAATTTATACTCAGAGTTTGGTGACAAAGATAGAGCATAGCCTGAGGTAGGTAGATAGGATCAAATAAATTCATCTCCTTTACAGTTACCTTGGCTATATAATTTGCTCTAATTTTCCTAGCAGCAGTTGCAAAAAGTGCTACACGCCAGGTCACATACTTATCTGTGTCTGGTTACACCTATCTTCTGTGAATTGCTTAACCTGCTTTTAAAGCGGGTGGCCACCACTAGATCTGGTGGGAGCAAATTCCATGGTTTCATGGTCTGCAGTGTGAAGAGGTCCTGCCTTTTCTCTGCCCTTCAGTGTCAGGATTTATGATGTCTCTCTCACACCGAGACGCGTCAAGCTGGCAGGTTTGTTTAGTATTTACACAGTAGTTTCAGTCCGAGCCCTCAAGGCTCAATCTTCTCCGGATGGGACTTGGGGACAGCCTGCCCCTCGTCCTCCTCTTGAGCCAAATCTAACAGCGGCAGGCTCTGTCTGCCTTGTGGGAATTTATAGCCTGCGTTCCAGGACGCGAGAGGCTTCCATCACTCTCAGTGTGGGCAGGAATCAAGCCTCTACTCCCCTCAGCCTGTCCCCCTTCTTCCCCGGCATCTTCGTTGGCGCTCTGGGAAGGGACGTCCCTGACATCCAGCTTCAATGGCTGACCGAAATTGGATTCTAGTATTAAGAGAAGCAGATGATGTCTTCCTGTCCACTTTCTTTATGCCGTTAAAGAAAACCAGTGACTGGTATTTGGAGACGTACTGTCTCCAATGGTGGACATAGGAATTCATGGCTCCCTACCCTCCATGATGTATAAACTCCTTGCAATGCGTCCTCATCCCCCAGGAATATCTTAAGCTGCCTTATCACAGGTCACAAAACTTAGCCCATCAAGTCCCACATTGTCTCTGCAGGGGTCTCAGATGACCCTCTTATAAATGCTGGGGATTGTTCCAGAGACAAAGTTGGTGCTCTCTTAACGCTTGAGGTTACGGGCTTTCCCCAGAACTGTATCCTCGACTTTAGATTTCCACATATCCCAAGTTCAGTTCATTAAACAAATACATAGTAAAGGTAAAGGTAAAGGGACCCCTGACCGTTAGGTCCAGTCGTGGCCGACTCTGGGGTTGTGGCGCTCATCTCGCTTTACTGGCCGAGGGAGCCGGCGTACAGCTTCCGGGTCATGTGGCCAGCAGGAGTAAGCCGCTTCTGGCGAACCAGAGCAGTGCACGGAAACGCCGTTTACCTTCCCACCAGAGCGGTACCTTTTTATCTACTTGCACTTTGACGTGCTTTTCAACTGCTAGGTTGGCAGGAGCAGGGACTGAGCAACGGGAGCTCACCCCGTCCATCACAGGGATTCGAACCGCCGACCTTCTGATCGGCAAGTCCTAGGCTCTGTGGTTTAACCCACAGCGCCACCTGCATCCCTTAAACAAATTCATACGTCTAATTAATTAAATAACGCTCCAGGGAGCATCAAATTTTCCCTGGTAAAACTCAGAGAGTGAGGGGGCAGGTTGCCTGTCTATCTCAGTGGTTCCCTGCTAGGGCCATGCCTTGTCTCCTTCCAAGGGCAGGTGACTCTGTTCTCTCCCCTTCTTGCTGCATTGACATGTGACCACAGTATTCAGTCACTCCTACCACAGAGACAGGCACAGGGACGCGGGTGGCGCTGTGGGTTAAACCACAGAGCCTAGGACTTGCCAATCAGAAGGTCGGCGGTTCGAATCCCCGCAATGACGGGGTGAGCTCCCGTTGCTCGGTCCCTGCTCCTGCCAACCTAGCAGTTCGAAAGCACGTCAAAGTGCAAGTAGATAAATAGGTACCTCTCCGGCGGGAAGGTAAACGGCGTTTCCGTGTGTTGCTCTGGTTCGCCAGAAGCGGCTTAGTCATGCTGGCCACATGACCCGGAAGCTGTCTGCAGACAAACGTCGGCTCCCTTGGCCAATAAAGCGAGATGAGCGCCGCAACCCCAGAGTCGGTCACGACTGGACCTATTGGTCAGGGGTCCCTTTACCTTTTACCACAGAGACACAGCAGAATTTTCTGCTTTCAGAAGTGGCTTCCAACTCTAGAATTCTACACCTCTAAGCTAAACATAACTAGTCCTCTTAATCTATCGCCACAGGGCTTTTTCACAACCTCTGATCTCCCCTCTCCTGAAAGTGCAGCCCTCTGAACCTTTGAAACAGCCTTTTTAAAATTAAATAGTTGAGATGAAGTCTGCAGCGCCATCAGAATGCGTGTTTGGCGGAGTATCGCAAGGAGGCAGGAGCTTCAAGAAGCTTTCCGATTTTAATGTTGGAGGCAGAAGTAAATGGAGATCACTATCATTTGTCAATCTGGCTTGGGGTAACAGCAAAATGAATCTCCCCGTTAAAAAACAAGCAAACACCTTTACAGAAGACGTTTCATTGCACGGCAGTTCAACACATGGAAACATTCCTAGCTTCTTCACAGGAGGAATTCCCTCCTTCTGTTTGTCGGGATTCTACAGTTTTGTATAAATGGAACCACAAACAGCCTGGCTGCTGGATCCAGGCCAAAGTCTCCGCAAAGCAAGTCCATGAGCGAGGACCAGAGCGCAAAAGCAACTCTTCCCCACTTGTTCAGAGTCGTACTGCCTCCAACATAGCAATTCTAGCTAGCAGCCAGTCGTTTGACTTGGAAAAAAGAATGCCACCATTCCTCTGAACACCCTCCACAATTGCCGGACTCGGTTCTGTGCGATAATTTCCATACCTCGAGGAATTCGTGAGAAACGGCAGTTTCGCTGCCTCGTAAAAAGATCCCCACAATGTTTCACATCCGTAAAAGCATGAGAAGAGACTGCAGGATCAGGCTATAGCATGAGTCTTACATCCTGTCTTTGTGGCGGCCAACCTGATGCCAACCCCTCACCCCACATTGTATGGCAGGACCTGAATCCTGTATGCATCAGAAGCACCAACAGCAAATCTCCAAACTTCTGACTTCCAGCAGCTGCTGTTCAGAGACATACTGCCTCCAACAGTGGAAAAGGAACAAAAGCCATTGTGGCTGGAAGCCACCAGAAAGCATGTACAAATTCGCCACTGGGTCATTACCACCTCATCAAAATCCACACCTGAACAGTTGGCCTTGCCAAGAGGACGATCTTGTGGCTGGTTTCACTGCTAGAGTGAACATGATTACAGTGGTACCTTGGTTCTCAAATTTAATCCGTTCCGGAAGTCCGTTCCAAAACCAAGGCGCGTTTTCCCATAGAAAGCCGTGCAAAATGGATTAATCTGTTCCATACTTCTAAAAACAATCCCTAAGACAGCGATTTAACATGAATTTTACTATCTAACGAGACCGTCGACCCATAAAATGAAAGCAATAAACAATGTACTGCAGTCACACAATCAATCCATCAGTAGCTGGACTGGGTGCCACACAGTCACTAAAACAAAACAAAAAAAAAAGAAAACGCAAAATAAATAGCAAAACCATACAGACCTCAGCGTAACACTCAAAATGGAAGCATGGCACTCAAAACGAAGCACGTTCGACTTCCGAAAAAAGTTCACAAACCAGAACACTTACTTCCGGGTTTGCAGTGTTTGGGTTCCAAGTTGTTTGAGTACCGAGGCGTTTGAGAACCAAGGTACCACTATATTTGAAAACGCCCTCTGCCCTCTTCGAAAAGCGACTAAATCATCACTTTAACCGCCACTTAACCTTCCCAGAAGCGTTTGCAAATACATGGCAATATTCTTCCGCAAGTGTTTGAATGAAAGAACGCACATATTAAAGACTTCTGAGCGGAACAGACTACCGACACAGTATTTTGGTTGAAACCCAAAACTTAGGTCTTTCGATGCAACCTTTTGCTATGAAACATCGCCTGGAATCCAAGGGCTAACGCTCATGTCCATTGCTTATAATGACCTTGGTTTAACGTGGAGAACAGCCATCCCTAACCTGTACAAAAATATTGGTAAAGGTGGCTGCTGTGTTGGGTGAGAATGATGTTTTCCCTACATTAGTCTTTTAGGTGCTCTGGGACACTGAAAAAAAGCCATTTAAATTCGAGGGGGCGGAGGCGGTGAACGTGTTTGCTTACACTGTTAAGGCAATTTGGATTTCTGGCAGCTTTTACTTAGATTGTTAACAGGTTTGTGAATAAGAAATCGGCAAGGAGCTAGCAGTGGAGGGAAGGAAACCGACAAGGGTGTTGAATGCAAATGAACTGGAGGGACCTATGGGACGTAACACTACAACTAAACTACCCCACAAGGGTACTGTGAAGATAAAATCGAGAGGACAGATCCATGCATGTTGACTTGAGCTTGTTGGGAGAAAGGTGGTGGTGGAGAATCCAAGAAAATGTTTAAACCTGCAAAAAAAAAAAAAAACAGCAACACCCCATTGTCTTTAGCTACATGTACAAAAAGATGTAAGAAAGAGCCTTCTTCTGGTTAATATATGCACCGCATCAGGACATACTTATCAAAGGGCTTGTGAAGACAAACGATGTTTTCCACTTTAACCGTGTGCATTTTGGAGGCGCAGATTTCACGAAAACTAATGGCGCACAAAGTTTTTTAAAGTTGTGCAACCGATGTAAGGGAAGCGAGGAAATTGCTGTGTGTGTGTGTGGCAGAGGCAGTCCACCTGCTGCCCTCCAGATGTTGTCAGACTACAGCTCCCAACTTACCTGACTGCTCCTGGCGGAGGTTACCTTTACCTCTTGTTTTCCTGGTTTTTTAGAAACAGGCACCTTAAAGGCTGTGATTCTATGCATAGTTACTCAGTTGTTAAGCCCCACTGTTTTTGGAGGTGCTTTCTCCTGAGAAAGTATGTATCTGATCGCAGGCTATACATTGCTCAGAAGCAAGTTCCATTTAATTCAATGGGGCTTGTTCAGCCCATGGTAAGTTTCTAAAGCCTGGGAACTGCAATTCATAGCTGTCAACTTACCGATTTGAAAATAAGGGACCAGCAGCCTCGAAAATAAGGGATCAGCAGCCAAAATAAGGAATTTTAGTCGGCCAGCAGCCAAACGAAGCCTCAAGCAGTGGTTCCCACAGCGCAGCAACCCGGCAAAGGGGATGCAGCAAGAAAAACCACCGTCCCCTCTCCGCTGGGAAGTGCTGAGCAAAGGCGAGTCCCCAGGCAACACGGCCGAGTTGATCAGCACAAGGCATGCAAGCTCCACCCCCCAGTCGTTCTTAGACTCCTTATTGGGTGAGCAACGCAGCCAAGCAACACAGTTGGAGCCTCCCTCCTCCCTGGCCGGCAGGGAGGGAGGGAGAGGAGCTGCTTCCTTTGAAACCCGGGAAATTTAAGGGACATCATCAATAAGGGACAGCAGCGGGACACGGCGCTGGGATAAGGGACTTTCCCGCCAAATAAGGGACGGTTGACAGCTATGCTGCGATTTCCCATTCAGGGAGCTACAGTTCTCAGCACTCTTAAACCATGATTCTGGGGTTCTTTGGGGGAAAGCTGTGCGCTTTAAATTTATGGTGTGGCTCTGCTGGCAGGCTGCAGTCAGTGAGACTTGCTTCTGAGCAAACATACACAGGACTGCCCTGTAAATATATTTCCTTACGACCACTTGCTTGCTCTTTGATCCTCACATGGAGACATGTGGGGGGAATTTATTCCGGTTGGAAATTCAGGTGACTGTGTTCACATACCACTGATGTGCATAGGGTTGTATCAAACGTCAGTAATACTCAATATATGAGTCATTGAAATTAACTTACATGACTCACAGAGGTCGGTCAGTTTGAATGGGTCTACTCAACCCATAGACATTAAGACTTCCCCCCAAAACAATACAAATGTGCATCCCCCCCCCCTTTGCAAATTTTAGATATAAACCTTCCAAGAAATGTTTTATTAATGCAAAAATGGGGGGAGGCAGAACTGACATTCTAGATCTTTGAGTTCAGTCTTTTCTTTTGGCTGAAATTTAGGATCCCAGAAGAAAAGGGCTAAGGGAAAATTTACAAAAACCGAAGAAGAAAAGACATTTACAAAGTCTTGGAGATCTTCATCTCTTGAAAGGGCTGACAGTGGAGCCATCTGTCACTAAAGACTTCATATGTTTTAAAATGTATAGAGAGAAAATAAGACTTTTTTTATTTGGAAATCAGAGAGCAGCTGCTGTCATCGCGCTTGTATTGTTCAACTCTCTGGTGGTTTGTTTCGTTAGTGCGACATAGTTTACAATTTCACAGCCCTCCAGACGGGTGTGGGTTATTTAATTATTGCAGGTGTACTTTTGTAACATGCCATTGACATAATGGCACACTATTAGTGCATTGAAACTGGACCATCCACACATCATTCCACAGCTGTTCCGTGATGTTTCCCCAGTGTTACTGCATCAATGCCATGCAGAGGGGCAGGTTTTGTGGTACGAAAAGTTACAGGGTTTCAGTTACGGGACATGTACTGATTGGAAAGGAAGGAATGAATCCATTCCAAAAACTTTTTGAGGTATTGGAAGCCGGATGGTGTTGAAACCGTCACGATACTATCACGAGCACAAATCGTCATGAATATAAAAAGGACGTCCAGAGGGGCCTCAAAAAAACCCTCACAGGACCCCGTTTTTAACCTATCTGGCTGGGGTCAACCTAGCATGCAAATGCTATTCAGCATGCGCTAAACTAGAAGCGGAGAAAATGAATCCCATTTTCCCGGTTGACAAATTGTACATCCGTGTACAAGGCTAGGAAAGGAAGATGTCTAGTTTGCTTGCAACCTGTCCCGGAAAGCTGTTTCCTGAGAGCAAACCTGCAATCGAGTCTAGAATCCTCCTACTTACTTTCTCAGCCAGCCATGACCTCCTTCCGGACACTCCATTCCAATTCCTCTCCTACCTGATTTTATTTCTTTTTCTTTCCCCCCTAGCAGTGAGCATTCTCTGGACACCAGAGCTTTCACTCATCCTCATTAGAATGCTTTTGAGTTTTTCCCCACCCCAAGGTTTTCGGGGTTTTTAACCATATTTTTGTACTTCTGTAATGTAAACCCCTGGGGCTCAGTGAACTTGTCATTACCTCCATCTTGCACACTGGCTGTGTCGTTTTGGTTACATAAGAATCAGCACTGACACACCAAAGCATCAGAAATAGACGGAATGAGTGACTCTGTATTGATGGGGACTGGGAATTATAATAATATGTACATAAAAATATATAGAGTGTTGTAGATGTTCCTCATTTACCTTCAGAACTTCTTGACTCATGGAAACATGTAGTTCTGCATTATGCTGTTGAAATCACAGTGGTTCAGCGGGAGACAAAACAGCTCTGGGGGAAAAACAGTTGTGAGTTTTAGAAATGTGGGTGTTTCAGACTAGCCTCTTATAATAATAATTTAGCAATTCAACACATTTGTGACCCTTTTGGTGTTATAGGTACATACGGAAGCATACTACTGTCAATAAAATATATCTGTAATTCTTTGAGACTGGTTCTTTTCGAAAAGGCACCACGCTGCTGATATTCTTGCACGTAAACATTGCATTAGAGCACAAAAAAACAAAACGGTATATAGGTCAATGTAGAACTTTAGGGCCTTTCAGGTCTTTTGGACAGCAGCTTGCATTAGCCCCAGCCAGCGTGACTCTGAATCAAGCTCCAGTTTCAGAACTCATTCTATAACTGTCTCAAGTGAAACCAGGAGCCAAAGGTTTGAGGCACAGAGCAGAAATAATTCAGGAAAGGACAAAGGGAAACCCCCTCAGTCCCTACCTCTTCCCAAGAGCTCAATAAATGGGAAAACCATATTGGGTTTACTTGAGGCCACGCTCGAGCGCCAGACCTTCTGTCCTAAAACAAATAGCTGTAAGCTTGAACAGGCAAGATTTTTTATCTCTCCAAAGCTGCCTATCTGCTTTTGAATGTATTATGGAACACACACAACCCAATGCCTCCACATCCTATGTGTCGGTTTTGTGATTGTGTTGCTTGTTGTTTGAAAGTAGCAGCTTTCCAAATGATTGGCCGCACTCAGGGTTATCTGGGATGGGAATGGTGTGTGCATAATCGATATATGCCAACCTTCTGTAGATGGACTGCAATTTCCGCCAGCCCCAGCTGGCATTTTAGGGATGTTAGAGAGAAATTCAGTTCAGTCCTCATTTAAAAGTGAACTTGTTGGTTCAAGGGAAAAGCAAGTATAGAAAGGAGAATTCCCAGGATACCAAGATCCAAATTTGGGGTAAGTACTCTTTGGTGACAAGGGACGCGGGTGGCGCTGTGGGTTAAACCACAGAGCCTAGGACTTGCCGATCAGAAGGTTGGCAGTTCGAATCCCCGCGACGGGGTGAGCTCCCATTGCTCGGTCCCTGCTCCTGCCAACCTAGCAGTTCGAAAGCATCTCAAAGTGCAAGTAGATCAATAGGTACCACTCCAGTGGGAAGGTAAACGGCGTTTCCGTGCGCTGCTCTGGTTCGCCAGAAGCGGCTTCGTCCTGCTGGCCACAAGACTCGGAAGCTGTACGCCGGCTCCCTTGGCCAATAAAGCGAGATGAGCACCGCAACCCCAGAGTCGGCCACGACTGGACCTAATGGTCAGGAATCCCTTACTCTTTGGTGACAGAACCCCAACAGAGATTTTAAATCACAAAATATGCAGCAAAGTAAAGCCTGGAAATATAGGCTGTTAAGACCTTTAAAGCATCTCCTTCTGAGTTCCAAAACTTCCCTCTTCTTCTTCCAGCACAGGAAAGGACCGCATGTTTGGTTAAAACTTACAAACAGTTTATAAGAAGTAAATAAGGAAGCCGTGTACAGGATAAAGGAAGTCTTTTATTTCTCTTTATGTTTTTTTCCTTGTTGGAAGTGTACTGTTGTTAAGTTTGTTTCGTTTTAAATGTTATGGCGGTGGATTTGTTTTAGTTGTTGTTGTAGTAGATGTGTGTTGCAAGTAACTTCAATAAAAATTAAAACAGCAAAACAAAAAAATTGCAAACCCTTCACAGGTCAGGTTCGTGTGCTTTTGGATACATCAGTCAGAAAAGTTGCACTGGCAAGAAAAACATGGCTGAGTTACAAAGTGGCAAAAGCTCCTCAATTACAGTGGTACCTCGGGTTAAGTACTTAATTTGTTCCGGAGGTCCGTACTTAACCTGAAACTGTTCTTAACCCGAAGCAGCACTTTAGCTAATGGGGCCTCCTGCTGCCACCACGCCGCCAGAGCATGATTTCTGTTCTTATCCTGAAGCAAAGTTCTTAACCTGAAGCACTATTTCTGGGTTAGCGGAGTCTGTAACCTGAAGCGTATGTAACCCGAGGTACCACTGTATTGGTACAGTATAGGATCTCAAGCTGGCTGATGAAAGCTGTGCGGCTCAAACCAGCTCAAACCTCTTCACATGCAGAGCTGGTTTGAAAAGGCCCTTTTCTCAGTCCCATCACCTTCACAATGTACGCTTGTTGGAGAAACTGGGAAGGGCCTTCTTGATGGTGACTGCTCCTGGGCAACTTTGGAACTCCCTGCCTGGAGAAGCCAGACTAGCTCCCTCCTTCTTTTGAAGACCTTCTTTTTGCAACAGGCTTTGGGGACCTGAATGCTTTTAGTGAAAGGGCTGATGCCACGCTGTTTTAAATTGTAATTCTTTGTATCCATATACAGTGTGTGTGTGTGTGTGTGTGTGTACACACTGTGTATACACACACACACACACACACACACACACACACACACGGTGAGTCTTTTAAAAGAGGCCCCATGGAACATGTGTACTCTGTATCCAAAAGGGGCCTCTTTTAAAGGACTCACCCTGTGTGTGTGTATACATATATGTATACATATATATATAATTTTTTATCCTATCAATGTTTAGTTGCTTTTTTAATGATTCCCTGCTTTCAACTGTTCTTATGTTTATCTATAAGCCACCTTGAGTCCCTGTCAAGGAAAATGACAGGGTATACTAACTATTTTTATTTTTTTTCAGGAGTGTCAACTCCCATCAGCCCCAATGGTCAGGGGATAATGTGGGGGGCATTGCTAACAGCATATTTAAGGCAGAGGCCACCCCAATTTTTTACTTGGTCCTTGCAGCCCTCTCAACTACATAAACTAGAACTTCTGTTATCACAGTTAATAGTGATAATAATGTTTTATTATTATTATTTCTACTCCACCTACTGGTCTGACTGGGTTGCCCCAGCCACACTGGGCGTTTTCTAACAAAATAATAAAGTGAGACACCAACCCCTGAAAACCTCCCAACTTCAGCTATCTGTGGAAGGTCAGACCATTGTTTATCTTCTTGACATCTGACGTGAGGGAGGGCGCCACCACCGAGAAGGCCCTCTGCCTGGTTCCCTGTAACCTCACTTCTCGCAGGGAGGGAACTGCCAGAAGGCCCTCGGAGCTGGACCTCAGTGGACGAAGGGGGTGAAGACGCTCCTTCAGGGATACTGGGCCGTTTAGGGCTTTCAAGGTCAGCACCAACACTTTGAATTGTGCTTGGAAACGTCCCGGGAACCAATGTGGTAGGTCTTTCAAGACCAGTCCCCAGTCTAGCTGCCACATTCTGGATTAGCTGTAGTTTCTGGGTCACCTCCTTTTTTTAAAAAAAATGCTTTTTATTAAGTTTTCATTTCAAATACACCAACACTGACAAATATTTCAAATCTTTTTACATCTGTCTTACTTTATATGCTCCGTAGAGCCGCTGACTTCCCTCCTTCCCTTCTGCAGCTTTTCTTATTACAATCCTTCATTCACAGTTCCTTAATAAATAAAAAAATGACATAAGATTTATTTTAGTCCTGCTAACATCTTCAAATTTCTACAGTCCTCACTTACATAGACCATAAATTTACTCCATTCTTTTTCGGTACTTTGTTTCTTCCTGACTGCGAATCCTATGTGTCGGTTTTGCTAATTCCGCGGACTCGACCAACTTTGTCTGCCACTCCTTTACAGTTGGTATCTCCTATGTTTTCCACTTTTGTGCTATCAGTTTCTGATAGCTTCTACGGGACCGCCTCTCCAGGTATGCCCCATGGAGGACCTTAAGGTCCATATATAGCAACACCCTAGAGGTCCCGGGCCCTAAGGAAGTTAGATTAGCCTTAACCAGAGCCAGGACCTTCTCAACACTGGCTCCAGCCTGGTGGAACGCTCTGTCTCATGAGACCAGGGTCCTGCGGGATCTGATTTCTTTCCGCAGGGCCTGTAAGAGTTGGGTCTTTGGCTTGGAATCAGTTTGATTCCCTCCCCCTCTTCCTTTTTCCTTTCTCCTCCTCTCCTCCTTTCTCTCACTCAAGAGGCCGGGGGCCAGCGCTGTCCGGAGACACTTCCGGGTCACGTGGCCAGCGTGACATCGCTGCTCTGGCGAGCCAGAGCCACACACGGAAACGCCGTTTACCTTCCCGCCAGTAAGCGGTCCCTATTTATCTACTTGCACTCGGAGGTGCTTTCGAACTGCTAGGTTGGCAGGCGCTGGGACCGAGCAACGGGAGCGCACCCCGCCGCGGGGATTTGAACCGCCGACCTTTCGATCGGCAAGCCCTAGGCGCTGAGGCTTTTACCCACAGCGCCACCCACGTCCCATAAAGAACAGCTACATACAGCTTATATTGAAGGGGTACAGTTAGGGTTACCCCAGAAAGCCCTAAAAACTGTTTGTGAATTCCCCCCCCCCCAGCCAGGCCTCGGCGTACGCATTTTTAAAAACTGCATATTCCTCTAAGACAAAAACCACGAGCTAAGCAGTCCTCTCTGTAACAAAAACGCTGTAACAAACCCAGAGCTGAGAACAGTAAAGCTTTTCGCTTCCCAGATCCAAGATAACCTTGTCCTGGTACATTGACTTGCAACATACTTCCGGGAACAGTGCCAGAGAACGAAAAGCAACATTTCTATCTAAGAATCTGTGAAGGGGGAGAGGAAAAAAGGGGTTTGAAAAAAGGATAAAACCTGCTTGTAAAATGTTTTCGGTGCGGCCTGTCTTTTGTGAACTGAATCACACAGGTGCCTCTGCCCCCCCCCATGGCAGAATAAAACGCTCTTTCTCTGGATTAACCCCTTGGTGTCGTTAGGCTCCTTTTGTCTCTGCTCGGGTGCAACAATTATTCCTACCCATGGTTTAAAAAGGCTACAATATCCCCTTCAGTTCCCCTTCCCCCTTCCCCAGGAATCTAGCCTCATGAGTTTGTCCACGTAAGTTTGCATCCTTGAGCATGAACAGAAACTCCTTATCTTGGGGTAAAAAGACTAGGAGTACTCCTGGCACCTTCCCCGGGCGTGGCGGGGGCTGACAGTAGTCTTGCGAGGTCTGTGCATCAGCGTGGTCAGGACATTGACAAGCGACAAGACCCAGATCCCAGGCCTGTCTCTACCCGGAACTGACAAGGCCATCCATTAAGCCTTCATGGACTGAGAAAAGGGAAGGCTTTGCTTATGCAGCTGGTTTGTGTAGCAGAACTCAAGCTAATGCATTTTAGCTGATGGATCCCTGGGAAATTTGAGGTGACTGTGTAGCCTTATGAGGCTTTGCCCTCGGGTGGGAAAAATATTGCGCCTGGGAAAGGGAAGTGGGAGTCAACAGACACTCAAGGAATAGTTTCGGAGAAAAGGCTTTTATTTCTACCATCCATGAACTGGTAGAAGGAGCAAGTGTGATAAGTCACAAAAAGCATGCACGAGTTCACAGTGATGTGCACAAACATATATACAGTGGTGCCTCGCAAGACGAAAAGAATCTGTTCCGCGAGTCTCTTCGTCTTGCGGTTTTTTCGTCTTGCGAAGCAAGCCCATTAGCGGCTTAGCGCTATTACCGCTATTAGCGGGCTTAGCGGATCAGCTGTTAAGCGGCTTAGCAGATCAGCTGATAAGCAGCTTAGCGGATCAGCTGATAAGCGGCTTAGCGGCTTAGTGGATCAGCTGATAAGCGGCTTAGCGATCAGCTGTTAAGCGGCTTAGCGGATCAGCTGATAAGCGGCTTAGCGGATCAGCTGTTAAGTGGCTTAGCGGATCAGCTGATAAGCGGCTTAGCGATCAGCTGTTAGGCGGCTTAGCGGATCAGCTGATAAGCGGTTTAGCAGCTTAGCGGATCAGCTGATAAGCGGCTTAGCGGCTTGGGAAAAAGGGGGGGGAACCTGCAGGAACTCGCAAGACATTTTCGTCTTGCGAAGCAAGCCCATAGGAAATTCATTTTGCGAAGCACCTCCAAAACGGAAAACCCTTTTGTCTAGCGGGTTTTCCGTCTTGCGAGGCATTCGTCTTGCGGGGCACCACTGTATTTCTACCATCCATGAACTGGTAGAAGGAGCAAGTGTGATAAGTCACAAAAAGCATGCACGAGTTCACAGTGATGTGCACAAGCATATATACCCCTTTCTAGTTCCCTCCCCCTTTCTCCTCCCTCAGGAGTCCCGCCCCATGTTGAGGTTCCTCTGAGCATGTACAGAAAGCTGTCTTGGGACTATTGTGGACTCTTGGCAGGAAAGGGGGCGAGGGGGTTTTCAGAGTGTTCCCGTTGTTTCATTCTTGCGCTTTGGCATGGTTCCCGGAGAGAAAGCAAGTTGCAATGTGGTTCTGAGAAAGGCCTGAGAAGGCAATGGGCTCCGTTCTCTACCTTGTTGCAATCTTTTTAGTTACAGCAAGCGGAATGTTTCCGATGCTTAGCTGCTGAGAAAATGATTTTGATTTTGAGGAGATCTGAAGACCTAAGGATTACAAATTTGCTTAAGGTGGAAGTTGGAGCTTTGGGGACATTTGGACTTGAAAGGAGTAAGAAACAAGATTCGGGCTCCACTTTTAAGTATGGAGGCCTGGCTGGAAGAAACATGGATCCCGTAGGGCCAGAGCTTCTCCGAGATTTGGTGTTTAATATCAAGGACTATCAAAAAAACCGGCAGAGAGGAACTGAGAGAGAACTAAGAGCCTCCGATGTGAGATCTCCAGGCTAATAGTAGATTAAGACTGATGGACATTTAAGGAAATAAGAATGTAATGAAAGTGAATTAATTAATCAGTTGGAGGGCTGCTGAAGAAAGGTAAAAACAAGGATGCAGAAAAGGGGAGGTATGGGGAAGTCCGGGAAGCAAGGTGTATGAAAATAAGATTATGAAATTATACATGTTTATATGTTTGTATGTTTTGTTTTGTCTATTGTTTGTTTTTATTATGTGTTTGGAAAATCAATAAAAATCTATTTAAAAAAAAAAAAGACTGATGGACATTTGTCGGGGATTGAAACCGGGAAAGGGGGGGGAGTTGGAGAATCCAAAGGGTACATAATTATAATTTGTTCTGTTTTTATTTAGTTTTTGGTTATGTGTATGAAAATTGGGAAATTCGTGGAAGGGAATTTGGGTCGACTTTAGAAAAAATGTTTTAAGAATGAGTACTGATGTAGAAGTATTGATGTTTAAGTTTGGATAAGGTAAAATTGTTTTTTTAAAATGAACTAAATTGAATGAAAATAAGGTTAGCAAAAATAAATTGAGGAAATGGATGAAAGAGAAAAAGTAAAATAATAATATGTTAAATTAGGTATAGACATAGGTTAAAAATTATGGATAAGGATTTGCTGAACTAACAATTTGAATTGGAATATAAGAAGGGGAAGGTATGAGGAGGTCAGGGAAATATGTTATTGAAAAATAAGTATTGTGTGGAAGAATGGCAGATGAAGGTGATAGACTATATGGGACTGGCAGAAATGACCGGCAGAATCCGAGACCAGGGAAAAGAGACGGCGGAAGAAGATTGGAAGAAATTTAAGGACTATCTTAAGAAACATTGTAAAATTATTGAATGTTAGAACGATGTTGGTTTAGAAATTAAGTGGTTTCTAGCTGTAATGATCATGCAATTAAGAAAAGAAAGGTTAAAAATTAAATAGAAATTATGGGAGGGATTTGCTGAATTAAATAATTAGAAATTGGAATACAGAAAGGGGAGGTATGAGGAGGTCGGGAAAGTAAGTTATAAGAAAATAAGGGACTGAAATTATACTTGTTGTTGTTTGTGTTTTGTTTGTATTTTTGTGTTTTTTATATAATTTTTTGGAAACTTCAATAAATATATTTTTTTAAAAAAGAAAAATAAGTATTGTGAACTTTATGTGTTTTTAAACTTTTTTGCTTTTTCCTTTTTGATTCTTTTTATTGTATTAAATTTGAAAACTTTAATAAATATATTTTTTTAAAAAAAGAGAAAATGATTTTGAAAAGCTTCAACTGCACAGTCAGGTTTGGGTAACCTGTCCCTTCATTTTTATTATTGGTCGTTAGCTGCCCTGAGCCCGGTCTTGGCTGAGGAGGGCGGGGTATAAATAAATTTTATTATTATTATTATGGGTCACCTCCTAGGCAGCCCCAGGAGAGCGCATGGCAGTAGTCCAAGCGGGAGATAACCAGAGCATATCTCACTGGTGAGACAGTCTGTGGGCAGGGAGGGTCTCATCCTGCCTCCCACATGAAGCTTCAAGCCGCCATGACAGCGTTAAAAAAGGGGAAAGCGTTTCCCTCAGAGGGCGAAAAAGGCGGGAAAGTATCATGATGACGGAGCGGAGCGGCCGTGCCCAATCAGAAGCGGCGGCGCAGCCGAACGGCGCCCCGATTGGCCGGTGTTTCTCCGCCCGCTTTCAAAGCTCGAGCGGACGACCGTTGGTCAAAAACAGCCTCCTCGCGCGGGGAAGGGGAAAGCGCAAGCGCAAAAGCCGCAGACTTCGAGGGGCGGAGCTTGAAAACGGGAACTGCTCCCCCCCCCGCGCGCGCGCGCGCGCGCCGGCGAGTGACGTCACATTCTCCATCCTGATTGGCCAGAGGGCTAAAAGAAACCGTTCCGCATTTGCTCTTCTGGAGGCGGTACGCAAACAAGCCGCCGCCATGGCGACCCCCTAAACTCCTCCCCCTTCTCCCGTCTACCGCGTCCTGATTGGTCGCTCGCGCATCTCGCGGGAGCGGAGGCGGTTTGGTGAGGTAAGTTGGGCGTCCGTGGGAAGGGGGAGGGGGGCGGGTGAATCCCTCGCGCGGATTGGCTGGGCGGAGAGAGGGGAGGCGGGGCGAGGCAAGGAAGTCTCCAATCAGCGGCGAGGAACGGAGTAAGTAGGAGGGGCGAGGGGCGGGGCCTGTCAACCTCGCGTCAACGACCGAAAGGGAAGAGGGAAGACGACACCCCCTCAAAATCCAGACGGTCCCGAGGCGTGGCAGGTTCGAATCCCGCCTCGTCGTGAGGGGCCTGAGGTAAATAATGAATTAATAACAATAGTTTAAAAGGAATTCGCCGGGAGGGGGCTGTTGGTGAGGAAAACCTATGACTGTGTTCTTATTATTATTATCATTCCAGGAAGTGAGAGTTCCCCATCCCATAATACGCCCCTCGACCCTCACGCAGCCCGCCAATCTCACCCCCATAATGGGGTGGCTGTCTCAAGAAAACGGGGTGAGGGTGGGGGGCTCAAAGAAAATGGGGTGAGGGGGACTGAAATCCCCTCCCTTATTATTATTATTATTATTATTATTAATTAGATTTAATATTGTTGTTGTTTAGTCGCGTCCGCCTTCTTGATGGTCCAGCTCTCACTTCCATACATCCCTGCTGGGAAAACCAGAGCTTTACAGTGGTACCTCGGGTTAAGTACTTAATTATACAGTGGTACCTCGGGTTAAGTACTTAATTCGTTCTGAACCCGAAACTGTTCTTAACCTGAAGCACCACTTTAGCTAATGGTTGCCTCCTGCTGCTGCCGGAGCACGATTTCTGTTCTCGTCCTGAAGCAAAGTTCTTAACCTGAAGCACTATTTCTGGGCTAGCGGAGTCTGTAACCTGAAGCGTATGTAACCTGAAGCATATGTCATCTGAGGTACCACTGTATATAAAATAATATATAAAGGTAAGGTGAAGGATCCCTGGACGGTTAAGTCCAGTCAAAGGCAACTACAGTGGTACCTCGGGTTAAGAACTTAATTCGTTCCGGAGGTCCGTTCTTAACCTAAAACTGTTCTTAACCTGAAGCACCACTTTAGCTAATGGTTGCCTCCTGCTGCTGCCGGAGCACGATTTCTGTTCTCGTCCTGAAGCAAAGTTCTTAACCTGAAGCACTATTTCTGGGCTAGCGGAGTCTGTAACCTGAAGCGTATGTAACCCGAGGTACCACTGTATTGTTTCATTCTGGCGGTCACACACACACACACAAAATGCAAGAGGAATTACACCGGACTTGACTAGGTAGGAACAGACCATAGCTTTGGAATATACCAATGCATACAGTGGTACCTCGGGTTAAGAACTTAATTCGTTCCGGAGGTCCGCTCTTAACCTGAAACTGTTCTTAACCTGAAGCACCACTTTAGCTAATGAGGCCTCCTGCTGCTGCCGGAGCACGATTTCTGTTCTCGTCCTGAAGCAAAGTTCTTAACCCGAGGTACTATTTCTGGGTTAGCGGAGTCTGCAACCTGAAGCGTATGTAACCCGAGGTACCACTGTATTGTTTCGTTCTGGCGGTCTCTCATAGAAAGGCTGGAGTAAAAGCTGCAAGCCTGTTTGCGTGTGATACAAAGTGATCTAGAATGTGTCTTCCACACTGAGCTTCCAGGGCCAGTTACAATGTTTAAAAAACATGACAACAACTTGCAACCGTGAAAACAAGGTGGGTCCTGAGACCCTCAAAGGCCAGGATAAATAGGTGCGTCTTCAGGAAGCTGTAGAATGAAGGCGCAAAGCACACCTTAGTGAGGAGGGAGTCCCACATCTTAGGGGCCACCACAGAGAAGGACCTCTCGTCTCCTGGGCCGCTGCCCCCCAAACTTCTGATAGTGGAGAAACTACCGAGAGGGCTCCCTCCGCTGACTTCAGGACCTTAAGAGGGTCCATAGGGCAGGACTTCAGATATTTGCGCATGAGTGCGCGCGCACACACACGCACATATATACCTGTATATAAAATGCAAGAGGAATTACACCGGAATTGACTAGGTAGGAACAGACCATAGCTATGGAATATACCAATGCATACAGTGGTACCTCGGGTTAAGAACTTAATTCGTTCCGGAGGTCCGTTCTTAACCTGAAACTGTTCTTAACCTGAAGCACCACTTTAGCTAATGGTTGCCTCCTGCTGCTGCCGCACGATTTCTGTTCTCATCCTGAAGCAAAAGGGCTCCCTCCGCTGACTTCAGGATCTTAAGAGGGTCCATAGGGGCAGTACTTCAGATATTTGCGCGCGCACACACACACACACGCACATATATACCTGTATATAAAATGCAAGAGGAATTACACCGGAATTGACTAGGTAGGAACAGACCATAGCTATGGAATATACCAATGCATACAGTGGTACCTCGGGTTAAGAACTTAATTCGTTCCAGAGGTCCGTTCTTAACCTGAAACTGTTCTTAACCTGAAGCACCACTTTAGCTCATGGTTGCCTCCTGCTGCTGCCGCACGATTTCTGTTCTCATCCTGAAGCAAAAGGGCTCCCTCCGCTGACTTCAGGATCTTAAGAGGGTCCATAGGGCAGTACTTCAGATATTTGCGCGCGCACACACACGCACACGCACATATATACCTGTATATAAAATGCAAGAGGAATTACACCGGAATTGACTAGGTAGGAACAGACCATAGCTTTGGAATGTACCAATGCATACAGTGGTACCTCGGGTTAAGAACTTAATTCGTTCCGGAGGTCCGTTCTTAACCTGAAACTGTTCTTAACCTGAAGCACCACTTTAGCTAATGGGGCCTCGCGCTGCCGGGGCACAATTTCTGTTCTCGTCCTGAAGCAAAGTTCTTAACCCGAGGTACTATTTCTGGGTTAGCGGTGTCTGTAACCTGAAGCGTATGTAACCTGAAGTGTATGTAACGCAAGGTACCACTGTATCATCATCATCATCATCATCATTATTATCATAATATGGGGAAACCATAGCTTGAACTACAGTGGTACCTCGGGTTACATACGCTTCAGGTTACATATGCTTCAGGTTACAGATTCCGCTAAACCACAAATAGTGTTTCAGGTTAAGAACTTTGCTTCAGGATGAGAACAGAAATCGTGCTCCGGCGGCGTGGCAGCAGCAGGAGGCCCCATTAGCTAAAGTGGTGCTTCGGGTTAAGAACAGTTTCAGGTTAAGAACGGACCTCCGGAACGAATTAAGTACTTAACCCGAGGTACCACTGTATACGGACCTTTGTCGGCAAGGATTGTCCTAATACATATACTTTTGTTGTTGTTTAGTTGTTTAGTCATGTTCGCCTCTTTGTGACCCCCTGGACCAGAGCACGCCAGGCCCTCCTGTCTTCCACTGCCTCCCGCAGTTTGGTCAGACTCATGTTTGTAGCTTCGAGAACACTGTCCCACCATCTCGTCCTCCGTCGTCCCCTTCTCCTTGCGCCCTCCATCTTTCCCAGCATCAGGGTTTTTTCCAGGGAGTCTTCTCTTCTGATGAGGTGGTCAAAGTAATTTTGTGGCTGCTGTCACCATCTGCAATGATCATGGAGCCCAAGAAAGTAAAATCTCTCACTGCCGCCATTTTTCCCACTTCTATTTGCCAGAACGTGATGGGACCAGTGGCCATGATCATTGTTTTTTTGATGTTGGGCTTCAGACCATATTAAACTCCATGGACAATAACAACACAAAAAATTTTAAGGGACGCAGGAGGTGCTGTGGTCTAAAGGACAGATCGTGAAGCTGAGGCTCCAATACTTTGGCAACCCCATGAGAAGAGAAGACTGCCTGGAAAAGACCCTGATGCTGGGAAAGATGGAGGGCACAAGGAGAAGGGGACGACAGAGGACGAGATGGTGGGACAGTGTTCTCGAAGCGACCAGTGTGAGTTTGACTAAACTGCGGGAGGCAGTGGAAGACAGGAGGGCCTGGCGTGCTCTGGTCCAGGGGGTCACAAAGAGGCGGACACGACTAAACAACAACAACATACCGCCCTTAATCAGTTCATAGGATAAAAAAAAAGTCAAAGGCGCTTTATTGCGCTGGTGGGAGATATCTAGGTTCATTTATTACTGATATTATCATTATGAGGTTTGATGAGAGTCTTGATGTGAGTACAGGACACTGGGCTGGCCTGATCCAGTTACGCTCTTCTTAGGTTCTCCATTGGACGAGGCTGCTTTTCACAGAATCGGAGAGTCGGAAGGCACTCCAAGCGTCGCCTAGCCGCTGCAATGCAGGAATCGCCGTTTTACGAGCGAAGGCGCGCTAATGGGATATTTTGTCTTTTCAGATCCTTGAACCCTGGCGGTCACCAGCCCTCTCCTGAAATCCTCGCTTGCCCGCTATCCTCCATGAACGGCAACCATGAAGAAGGCAAAGTACATCCTTTGCGCGTGGAAAAAACGGTGGTGGCCTGCAAAGGTGATATTAATTTGGAAAGCTCGGGACCTTTTTATCTCCTTTCTGTTTGCTCTGCTCCCTATCTCTACCAGTGGCAGCTATGGGAAGGCGATCAGTGTAGGAATGAAAATCACGGCAGACGAGCAGTAGGTGTGATGAGAGGCGTCTGGCAGGGCAAGCCCTGGGAGCTCTCCTTTATTGAATATTACAAACATTGCCACAGGTGTGCTTGTGGCTGATTGGTTGACACAAACACAAAGAAACTTGTTGCTGATTGGTTAACATAAGCACAAGGCGGGAATTACATGTGAGAGGTGGGAATTACATGTGAATATTAATCATCGATAGATTAAAGGCTGGGAAACGAGGTTGGAACTAGACAGGCATGAAATCTCCTAATTGAATTATAACTAAAGATTGATATAGCATAAAACAATTACTAATGATTGATCATAACATGAAAGAATATAATAATCGAGTTCCGTAGATGTGGTCAGCTATGCATTGAGAACAGGTCATCATGAACTTAAGATGAACTGAGCAAGGAGGGAATGTCTTGGTATTTGGAACAGGTCTGTTCAGTGTGTGCAGAAGCAGGGAAAAGATTATAAGCGAGACTTCCCAGAATGCAAGAGAAAAGAAGCAATACTTCCCATAAGGCCACAGTTATGTGCAGAGAGAGAACTCATGTGCAGAAAGAGAACTTCCCTTCAGATCAGTATATCAGTATACCTGAAGGAGCGTCTCCACCCCCATCGTTCTGCCCGGACACTGGGGTCCATCTCCTGAGGGCCTTCTGGCGGTTCCCTCACTGCGAGAAGCCAAGTTACAGGGAACCAGGCAGAGGGCCTTCTCGGTGGTGGCACCCGCCCTGTGGAACGCCCTCCCACCAGACGTCAAAGAGAACAACAACTACCAGACTTTTAGAAGACATCTGAAGGCAGCCCTGTTTAGAGAAGCTTTTAATGTTTGATGTATTATAGTATTTTAATATTTTTTTGGAAGCCGCCCAGAGTGGCTGGGGAAGCCCAGCCAGATGAGCGGGGTATAAATAATAAATAATAATAATAATTATTATTACTACTACTACTACTACTATGCCATGTCAGGATGTTGGAGGAAGTTTAGGATACCCGTGGTATTTCCCCCCGAGTTATAGCAGGGGGTCTCTGGCAGCATTGATGGGTTGTCCCACCAGCAGGCCTCCCTCCCCACTTGGATCGGGGCCCAAGCGGCTTCCTGCGGCCCCTCAGCCAATTTATTTATTTAAAGGCGTTTCTTTCTTTATTTAAAGGTGAACCTCCTTTTGCCAACTGGGGCTCCTTCAGGAGAAAGGGCAGGTTATAATTCAATAAATTAAAAAAATCAGATATGTCTCTTCTTCTTATCTATTATTTATTGAATTTATATACCGCCCTATGCCCAGAGGTCTCAGGGCAGTTCACAGAAAAGGAAAGGAGTAAGAGAAAAATATTAAGACTGAAATCCTAAGCACGTTTATTTGGAAGTAAGTTCGACGCAAATAAATGTGGAATATCAGCATTAAGTGAACCGTATCCTACAGTTCCCTGCATTGGAGTTGAAATTAGCTTGCGCGCAAATGGTAACGGCGATGACAATAGCGCAAAGAAAAAGAACACAACTTATGTTTTCGCTTGCACGTTAGGCCTGGGTACCCACAGCACTTCCAGGATCACTTTTTAAAAAATAATCCACAATTTTCAAATAGACACATAGGCACCATTCTGTGACCCCCATCGCTATTCCAGAATTAAATGTTCACTCTACTATTTCAAGTGATAAGATTACTTAAAGTAAAGGTAATTATTTACCTTTATTATTAGCGGGACCCCCATCTTTTTCTTGTATTTACACCGTTCTGTTTTGTTGAGACCTGCCCCGTGGGACCTTAATGTTAAAAAATGTACGTTGCGTTCCTGAATCCTTCAGGTTTTGTCCGCCGGCCGGACTTCCAGAAGGCGACAAGATCTGAAGAGCACGCCGAGGACCCTTCTGGTTGAAATTCTCTGCCTGAATAAACAGTTAAGTTGCACGTCCAGCATCTCAAGCTCCCTTGTTGCAGTTGACGCTGCTGGACGGGACCACGGTATGGTGGGGGTAAGGACGTGGGTGGCGCTGTGGTCTAAACCACTGAGCCTCTTGGGCTTGCCAATCGGAAGGTCGGCGATTCGAATCCCTGCGCTGGGGTGAGCTCCTGTTGCTCTGTCCCAGCTCCTGCCAAACTAGCAGTTTGAAAGCACACCAGCGGAAGTAAATAAATAGGTATCGCTGCAGTGGGAAGGTAAACGGCATTTCCATGCGCTCTGGTTTCTGTCACGGTGTCCCATTGGTTTAGTCCTGCTGCCCACATGACGCAGAAAGCTGTCTGCGGACAAACGCTGGCTTCCTCGGCCTGAAAGCGAGATGAGCGCCTCAACCCCATAGTCGCCTTTGACTGGACTTAACTGTCCGGGGGTCCTTTACCTTTAGCTTATGGTGGGGGTGTTTAACCACTTTCTCTCGCTTCTTAAAAGGATTGTTGTACGCCATGCAGACGTCAAACCTTTGCAGGAGGAGGACATCAACAGCATCGCCTCTCGGTTAGGTGGCCAACCCGACGCCTCAGAAGGTAACCCTCTTGAGCACAAGAGCCTTCTCTCCTCCCATCTCTTCCAGTGACTGGGATCCAGAATTATTTTATAAGGACGATGATGATTTATTAGATTTATATACAGTGGCACCTTGGTTCTCGAACATGCTACGTTCTGGAAGTTCGAAAACCAAAGCGCGGCTTCCGATTCGCGCAGGTGCCCCGGGAACAATAGCCGACAGCCGCATCAGACGTTCGGCTTCCGAAAAAAGTTCACAAACCAAAGCATTTACTTCTGAGTTTGTCGCGTTCAGGTTCCGATTTGATCGTCAGCTAAGCCGTTTGAGAACCAAGGTTCCACTGTACCACCCTTCATAAAAAGATCTTGGGGCAGTTAACAACACAAGTGAGCAACACGAATAAATAGTTAAAGCAGGGGGGGGAATAACCCCTTCTTCCCAAAAACACATTTAAATGCCTGTATAATAGTAATCAGGGATGCGGGTGGCGCTGTGGGTTAAACCACAGAGCCTAGGACTTGCCGATCAGAAGGTCGGCAGTTCGAATCCCCGCAATGACGGGGTGAGCTCCCGTCTTTCGGTCCAAGCTCCTGCCAACCTAGCAGTTCGAAAGCACATCAAAGTGCAAGTAGATCAATAGGTACCGCTCCGGCGGGAAGGTAAACGGCGTTTCCGCCAGAAGCGGCTTAGTCCTGCTGGTCACATGACCCGGAAGCTGTACGCCGGCTCCCTTGGCCAATAAAGCGAGATGAGCGCCGCAACCCCAGAGTCGGCCACGACTGGACCTAATGGTCAGGGGTCCCCTTTACCTTCACCTTTAACCATCCAGGGGTCCTTTACCTTTTACCAAGGGTGGGGGCTACCGGTCCTTTGTGTATAGCCAAACTGGAGGTCCAATCCTCATAGCTATCCAGCGAGGAGGGGAGCAAAATAGCTGCAAATCTCTCCTCTAGTGTTTCCATCTGGTTATGATGGTCTCGTTTGTATTCTGCTCTTTCCCTCTGCAAGCAGCCCAGAGAGGAATGACACAGTGTTGGCCAGGGTGGGGGTGGTTGAGGGCAAACTCAGCTTCTGAGTCCTTTCGACGCATCTTTCGACTGGATTATTGTAACTCGCTCTACGTGGGGCTGCCCTTGAGACTGACCCAGAAACTCCAGCGGGTGCAGAATGCCGCGGCGAGACTCCTTACGGGGTCCTCGCTGCGGGATCACATTCACCCGGTGCTATACCAGCTGCACTGGCTCCCGGTGGAGTACAGGATCAGGTTTCAGGTACTGGTTTTAACCTTCAAAGCCCTATACGGCCTAGGACCCTCGTACCTATGGGACCGCCTCTCCTGGTATGTCCCACGGAGGACCTTACGGTCTTCAGACAAAAATATCTTGGAGGTCCCAGGCCACAGAGAGGTAAGGCTGGCCTCAACCAGAGCCAGGGCTTTTTCGGCCGTGGCCCCGATATGGCGGAACACTCTGTCACAAGAGACTAGGGCCCTGCAGGACTTGACATCTTTCTGCAGGGCCTACAAGACAGAGCTGTTCCACCAGGCCTTTGGCCAGGGCACAGCCTGACTCCCTCCTTTGCCAATCCTCACAGAACTTCTAGCCCAATGGTTGCCATGAATCAGATTTGAACTGATTTTATAATGAAATGATTTTAGAATGTGGTATCATTTTACTGTTGTTAGCCGCTCCGAACCCGGCTTCGACTGGGGAGGGCGGGATAGAAATAAAAATTTATTATTATCTCAACAGGTCAGAGCAAGAAAAACCGCAAAGCCGTAGATGAGCTGCTCTACCGGCATGCTCTGCGGAATGCCCTCGATATCCTGAGCAGAAACTCCGTCTCACCCAAGGGGCGGAAAGGAAAAGCATCACCGCGGAAGGTCACCCCCGCCAGAACGTCGCTGGGGCGTCCGCCTAAGTGTCGCCAGCTCCAGTCTCCAAGGGACCCGCACGAGGGAGAAAGCATGGAGAGTTCCTTCAAGTGTTGCCTCGGCTCCAAGGCATCTCCCATCTCTAAACCACAACACTTGGGGGAGGCAGCTGGCCAGAACTGCTCCTTTTCCGAAGCAGCAACGACCGTCACCCCCCAGAAACAGCAGGAACCGTTGCCCAGATCTGACGCAGGCCGGAGGCAGCTGCGGTCCTTTCAGGAGAGGGGCGAGGGGCGCTGCCAGTCTCGGGGCAGGCCTGGCAAGGGCAGCGGCTTTCCCTCGCCAAACAGAACGAGCACCCCGGAGGCCGCCTCTCGAAAACCCCGGCCCAGGTTCGCGAAGTCGGGCGCGGGGCCCGGGGTGCGGAAGAAACTGCTGGGCTCCCCCGCCCGATGCGTTTCAGCTGAACCAGCCAGGGGAGAGGAAGAAGGGAGATACAGCAGAGGCCCCAACGGCAGCAGGCGCCCGAAGGGAAGGCGGCAGAAACGGAGTCGAGAAAGGAGTCGTCCGGGGGACTCGAACTCCTCTGCAGAGTCGCTTTCGGGAGGCAAGGCGGGGCAGAGGCAGGATGCGTCCTTCAGCGTGAAGCAGTTCCAGCTTCTGGATTCTGAAGATGAAGAAGGTACCGTATTTTTCGCCCCATAGGGCACCCCGGCCCATAGGGCGCACCTAGGGTTTTTTTTGGGGGGGGGAAATAAAGAAAAAAAATTATTTCCCCCCCCAGGTGCGGGGCTGGGGCGGGGGAAGCCCGAGCTTCCCCCGACCCCAGCCCCCAGAACAGGCTGCTATCCGCAGGGATGCAGGCAGCTCTCCGCAAGCCGTGGGAGCCCAGCGCGAACTCCCGCGGGCTCCCAAGGCTGGTGGATAGCTTCCTGAAGCCTGGAGAGCGAGAGGGGTCGGTGCGCACCGACCCCTCTCACTCTCCAGGCTTCAGCGAAAGCCTGCATTCGCCCCATAGGACGCACACACATTTCCCCTTCATTTTTGGAGGGGGAAAAGTGCGTCCTATAGGGCGAAAAATACGGTTAGCTTGTGTGCTTTGGTAGAGCGGAGGAAGGTGTTTGTGTGTTGCAATGGCGTTGATCCTAGAATAAAGGAATTGTAGAGTTAGGAAGGGACCACGATCATCCTCTAGTCCAACCCTCTGCAATGCAGTAATATTTTCCTCCAGGGTGGGACTCGAACCCACGACCATGAGATTTAATAATAATAATAATAATTTTTATTTATACCCCGCCCTCCCCAGCCAAGGCCGGGCTCAGGGCGGCTAACAAGCAATAATAAGAGCAAGTTGAATGAATACAACTTAAAAACAAGATTAAATACAACATTAAAATATTAAAATGCAGCCTCATCACAGGAGGAGAAAGGAAAAAGAAAGAGGGGGAGGGAATAAAATTGGCTCCAAGCCCAAAGGCCAGGCGGAGCAACTCTGTCTTACAGGCCCTGCGGAAAGAAGTCAGATCCTGCAGGGCCCTGGTCTCGTGAGGCAGAGCGTTCCACCAGGCCGGAGCCAGTGTTGAAAAGGCCCTGGCTCTGGTTGAGGCTAATCTGACTTCCTTAGGGCCCGGGACCACTAGGGTGTTGCTATTTATGGACCCTGAGGCTCTCCGTGGGGCAGACCGGGAGAGGCGGTCCCGTAGAGTCTTATGCCCCACCAGCTGAGCTATCTCTCAGGCCAGAAGGGCAGGGCTGCTCCCGCCCCACAAGTCTTCCTGACTCTGCACCTCCTGTGCGCACCTTGCAATGCACAAGTGGTTGTCTCCCTCTCCCCACTAAAGCAGCAGGTTGGTTGGTTTTTTAAGAAAAAGGAGAGGGAAAAGATCTCAGTGTTGTTGTTTGGTTGTTTAGTCGTGTCCGACTCTTTGTGACCCCCTGGACCAGAGCACGCCAGGCCCTCCTGTCTTCCACTGCCTCCCGCAGTTTGGTCAAACTCATGTTCATAGCTTCCAGAACACTGTCCCACCATCTCATCCTCCGTCGTCCCCTTCTCCTTGTGCCCTCCATCTTTCCCAGCATCAGGGTCTTTTCCAGGGAGTCTTCTCTTCTCATGAGGTGGCCAAAGTCTTGGAGCCTCAGCTTGAGGATCTGTCCTTCCAGTCAGCACTCAGGGCTGATTTCCTTCCGAATGGAGAGGTTTGATCTTCTTGCAGTCCATGGGACTCTCAAGAGTCTCCTCCAGCACCAGAATTCAAAAGCATCCATTCTTCGGCGATCAGCCTTCTTGATGGTCCAGCTCTCACTTCCATACATCACTCCTGGGAAAACCATGGCTTTAACTATACAGACCTTTGTTGGCAAGGTGATGAAGATCTCAGTACTCTGTAGTAAATGCTGAAAGTGATTAACGCCTTTTCCTCTGGACAGGATTCGCACCTGCCTCTTCCCTGCAGCTTAGCCCCATCGGGAGGTACAGTCACAGCTCAGCTTCCAGGGATGATGAAGATGAGGAACTCCCAAGCATCCTTCTGCACCCAGGTGAGGCCCGTTCTCCATCTTTCAGCATGGCCCAGCCGCACCGGCGTTTTTCCGAGCCCAATCTTAACCTTTTAAAGCAGGCGCGGGGAGCGATTGGCCTTTGGCCGCCAACCCTGTGAGGTGGGTCAGGCTGTAAGGTGGCGATTGGCCAGGTTCACGCCTAGGGAGCTGCGTGCAGCCGAGCGGGGATTTGAAACGTGATCTTTCTCAGGTCCTAGTCCAGGCAATGAATGAATGAGTCTTTACAGTGGTGCCCCGCAAGACGAATGCCTCGCAAGACGGAAAACCCGCTAGACGAAAGGGTTTTCCGTTTTTGAGTTGCTTCGCAAGACGATTTTCCCTATGGGCTTGCTTCGCAAGACGGAAACGTCTTGCAAGTCTTGCGTCCCCCCCCGCTTCCCCCCCTTTTTCTAAGCCGCTAAGCCGCTAATAGCCTTTTAGCAGCTAAGCCGCTAAGCCTTTAATAGCCGCTAAACCGCTAATAGCGCTAATCCGCTAAGCTGCTAATAGGGTTGCTTCGCAAGACGAAAAAAACCGCTAGACGAAGAGAATCGCGGAACGGATTCTTTTCGTCTTGCGAGGCACCACTGTATTTGCGTCGGCCATAGCAATAAAACAACAATACGATATACAAAGAATAGAAACAAAATGTCAGTTATATAAAATACATTTTGGGGTTTTGAATCAATAGTCAAATGGTGGATCTGATTCCGATTGCCCCAGCAAAACACCTTGCCACCTTTGCTGTCACCTGCTCATCTTGATCTGCCAAGAGAAAGGACACGCTGGCAGTGGCTGGGTGACCCGGAACGGGCAACAAAAAAGGGGGTGATAATCTCATTCCTCAAGTCTTTATCAAGAGTGCAAGCCAGAAGGGCATGCGCCACCGATTCGGGACTGCCATCTCCACAGGGACAAAAGCGTTTTTCGTGTGGAATCTGTTGGAGGTCCTAGTCCAGCAATCTGTAGCCACTACCCCACACCTCCTGAGAACCAGTCAGAACCCTCTGTAATATCTCCCCTGGCAGGATAACAGAATCTCTTTTTTTAACAAAAAAGATGATGTCCCTTAAATTTCCCGGGTTTCAAAGGAAGCAGCTCCTCTCCCTCCCTCCCTGCTGGCCAGGGAGGAGGGAGGCTCCAACTGTCTTGCTTGGCTGCGTTGCTCACCCAATAAGGAATCTAAGAACGACTGGGGGGTGGAGCTTGCATGCCTTGTGCCAATCAAATCGGCCACATTGCCTTGGGACTCGCCTTTGCTCAGCGCTTCCCAGCGGAGAGGTGATGGTGGTTTTCCTTGCTGCGTCCCCTTTGCCGGGTTGCTGCGCTGTGGGAACCACTGCTTGAGGCTTCGTTGGGCTGCTGGCTGGGCTTTCTGCCTTTGGCTTGGAGGGGCTCAGAAGTTGAACACACCTGTGCTCCGAAAATCCCTTATTTTGGCTGCTGATCCCTTATTTTCAAGGCTGCTGGTCCCTTATTTTCAAATCTGTAAGTTGACAGCTGTGCTGAAAGGCTGTGGCTGACCCCCACGGTCACACCCAGCAAGCCCCATGGCCCAGTGGAGTTCCGAACCCTGGCCTCCCAGGTCCTAGTCCGATACTCTAACCACTACACCACACTGCCTTAACCCGGAAGGGAAGGGAAATTCCCCGTTCTGTCCTCCAACCTCTGTTTCCGTTCTGCCTTTAGAGCCCTGTACCATCAAAGCCGGGATGCTGGTTTGGTGCAGAATGCCAAGACAACCTTTTTGGCCTGCGGTGGTAAGAATAAAAACGTTCTGTCTTGTTGCATCTTTGTGGAAGGGGCCTGTTCTTCCTGCAAGGGGATGGGGTAGGCATGAAACAGGGGTTTTCTCTTCCCGGCAGGTGAAAAGAGTGCAGCAGAAAGCCAGGAAGGCCAACGTCATCCTCATCCAGGACACTTTGAGCGTGAAATCCAAAGGGTAAGTGCAGCTTAAATGCAGTCCCGGTCTGGCTTCTGATCACCCATTGGCTGAGCTGCTCTGATGCCCGGCATGTTCACAGAGCTTTCTCTAAACTGCTCCTACAGGCAACGGCAGAAAAAAACCCAACTTATTTCTGCTCTCCTTTCTCAGCAAGGAGTGTTGGGTGTAGGTCTGAATTCGAAACCCTTCTCACCCATTGCTGAATAAATAATAATAATAACAACAACAAACAACAACAACAACAACAATAATAATTTATATCCTGCTCTCCCCAGCCGAAGCTGGGCTCAGAGCGGGTAACAACAGCAAAATGATACAACATTCTAAAATCATTTCATTATAAAACCAGTTCAAATCAGATTAATGGCAACCATTGGGCTAGACTTCTGTGAGGGTTGCCAAAGGAGGGGGTCAGTCTATGCCCTGGCCAAAGGCCTGGTGGAACAGCTCCGTCTTGCAGGCCCTGCGGAAAGATGTCAAGTCCCGCAGGGCCCTGGTTTCTTGTGACAGAGCGTTCCACCAGATCGGGGCCACGGCCGAAAAAATCCCTGGATCTGGTTGAGGCCAGCCTAACCTCCCTGTGGCCCGGGATCTCCAAGACGTTTTTGTTTGAAGACCGTAAGTTCCTCTATGGGACATACCAGGAGAGGCGGTCCCATAGGTACGAGGGTCCTAGGCCGTATAGGGCTTTAAAGGTTAAAACCAGCACCTGAAACCTGATCCTGTACCCCACCGGGAGCCAATAATTTTTGGACTTGTTGAGTCGTTTAATGGTGTCCGCCTCTTCGTGACCCCCTGGACCAGAGCATGCCAGGCACTCCTGTCTTCCACTGCCTCCCGCAGTTTGGTCAAACTCATGCTGGTAGCTTCGAGAACACTGTCCAACCATCTTGTCCTCCGTTGTCCCCTTCTCCTTGTCCCCTCCAGGGACTGGTGTGGGGTGATTTTTAGAGAACCAAAGGGGGAGAGCCCAAAAAAAACCATTGGGGAACCACTGACTAAAACGCTTTGCTTCTCTCCAGTATCTAGCCATCTGTGTTCTTGCGGCCGTCAGTAAGATTTTTCCACTTGCTAACCCGTCGTATCCCTTTTCCTTCCGCCTTCCCCCTGAAGCTTCTGCACCTCCTTCAGAAACCTGAAACACTACGAATGCAAGGAGAAGGGAAAACTGATAGTAAGTTTAAAACGGCAAAGGTGTGAGCTTCTTGGGGGGGGGGGCACGAGATCCTTGGTTTCCGCTCTGCATTTGTGTCTTCCACAAAAAGCACTGCTTGTGTTCCCCAAGGGAGATAATATTCTGCTTCCTTTCCATTTTGCTATGATTTTGCCCCCAGGCCAGAGCCAAAGAGAGTCACCCTCAAGATATCGACTGGTGCATCAAGTTGATAACAGACTACCTAGTTCGAGTAGGTAAGCTTAGCCAGCAGAGTGGAGCTGGGGGGGTGGGGTGAGGAGTGTCCTCTTTTTCCAGCAGCAAAAGAACTTTGTATTCTGTTTCTTCCTGTGCTGGTCCCGTGGGTTACCCGAGAGGCGAGGTCCAAGTCCGGTCCGTGGTCAAAGTTGCAACGTGGAGGCAGCCCGTAGTAGCTGAAGCTGGGTGCAGGGCAGGGAGTCGGGTGAAGTCAGGAACAGGCTTGCAAGCAGGGAGTTGGGTGAGGTCAGGAGCTCTGGCAGGAAAGCAGGACAGGGTTCAGGCAGGAACTATCAACCAACAATGTTGTTCCCGCAACTTGGGACTGGGGCTGGCCGGCTTTTATCTGCCCCGAGGCATAGGGTGGCCCCGATCCTCTGGTGACTCGCCTCTCCTGGCCTGGAGACGAGCCCTCCTCCTGCAGGAACTTAGTTCCCTCTGCCTCTCTGCCCTGAGCCTCTGCAGCTCAGGAGAGGCTGGAGGGTTCCCGGACCCAGAGGCAACCTCAGCTTCCCCTGACAGGGCTGAGAGTGGAGCACCTGCAGGCAATGGGTCCTCCATCACCTCAGGAGCCAGAGCAGACTCACCTGAGGACCCAGCATAGGTGAGGACCCTTCAGGCTCATGCCCCAGCCCCGGCTCAGCTGGTTCTGGTGGCGGTGAATGCTGTGCAGGCTGGGATCCCTCAGGTTCAGCATCCGAGTCTGAATCCCAGACCATCCCACTTCCTCTCTGCAGCTCCATGTCTTTCTTTTTATTTCTTTTTATTTGTTTCATAAAGCTTTCTATATCTCTTGATTGTGTAAAATCAGCCGCAGAGGCGCTGCACAAAACGAAAGGGAAGCTGGGAGGGAGGAGGAAGAAAGAAAGAAAGCTCTTGTAATGGCCAGGTTGGGGGAGTTCAAGGGGAGGAGGAGATTGAAGCGGATACTCTCTCAGCAGAGCCAATGAAGCCGCATGACAGACCCATCTCCCATCTCTCTTCCCTTCCCCCCTCCCCACTGAATAGCCTTGTGGCTGTCGGCAAGTAAATAAGAGTTTATTGTACAGTGGTACCTCGGTTTTCAAGCGTCTCGGAAGCCAAACGTTTTGGTTTTCGAATGCCGAAAACCCGGAAGTAATTGCTTCCGTTTTCGAACGCACCTTGGAAGCCAAACGACTTCCGCTGCGTGTTTTTCAATTTTTCCAGTTGAACTTGCAGCCAGCCCTTTGCGCCTCAGTTTTCGAACGTTTTGGAAGTCGAACGGTCTTCCAGAATGGATTATGTTCGAGAACCGAGGTACCACTGTACTAGCCCAAAGGCCATGACGAAACCGTACAAACGCCATCAGAAGAAAATATATACTGTACGAATAAGCCATCAGAACCATATATTGCAAGGGAGACTGTAAAGGGAAACCTGGTGGCGTTTGGTAATGTTAGAGTGTGACAAAGAGACAGTGCAGAAGTTCACTGAATGTATGACCACTCAAGCCTTGCTTTTAAATCCATGGTCGGCTTGGGAACAAAGTTCTGCAACGGCGTGACGTAACTTGAAATCTCCAAAATGGGATTTAGTCGAGAAACCTTCCTCTTCTCTTCCTGTCCCCAGGCTGCGAATCTTTCACGGGGTCCTTCCTGGAGTATTACGCCCACGAGATGAGTGAGTAGTTCATTGCCTATTAAAACGCGCTGCTTTGATTAAGTTTCCTAAGGAAGGACCAAAATCAAAGAAGGTTCCCTTTGCATGTACACACATAGCCAAGACCTCACTGTCTCCCAATTTTTGTTTTTTTAAAAGTTCCTTTGGGGGATTGGGGGTCTGGCTTCTTGGGACGTGGATCTGCAGTAGGTGTTTTCCTTCTGGGGCAGTGAGACAAGTCCTAGCCATTGTCAGTCTCCTCTCCTGCAAAATGGGTACTGTCCACGTGTTTCTTCTCCATAGCGTGTCCCTTCCTGTCCAGTTTCGATGTTTCACCGGAGGGATGGGGAAGAAGGAACGTAATATTTGGCCCTCCTTCGTGTGCCTCCTCCTCGAAAGGTCCAGAGGGTGGCAACACGAGAACGGGGCCTTCTCTGCAGTGGCTTCCCGTCTGTGGAATGCTCTCCCCAGGGAAGTTCGCCTGGCGCCTTCACTATACACCTTTAGGCACTAGGCTAAAACGTTCCTTTTTAACCTGGCCTTTGGCTGACCTGATCAACACCCCTTACCCATTTAAAACGTGGCTCTTTTGAGGGGTGGCGTTATTGTATTTTTATTTTATATATTGTGATTTATTTATTCTTTGAACTGCCCTGAGACCTCCAGGTTTAGGGCGGTTTATAAATTCAATAAATGAATGAATCTTTGTCCATGATACCTGAGAGAAAGGCGGGCTCTTTTCTGCACCTTCCCGCAGAAACCGTGACATTGCCTTATGGAATTAAACATATTACAGTCGTGCCCCGCAAGACGAATGCCTCGCAAGACGGAAAACCCGCTAGACGAAAGGGTTTTCCGTTTTTGAGTTGCTTCGCAAGACGATTTTCCCTATGGGCTTGCTTCGCAAGACGAAACGTCTTGCTAGTCTTGCGATTTTTTCCCCGCTTCCCCCCCCCCTTTTTCTAAGCCGCTAAGCCGCTAATAGCCTTTTAGCAGCTAAGCCGCTAATCCTTTAATAGCCGCTAAACCGCTAATAGCGCTAATCCGCTTAGCCGCTAATAGGGTTGCTTCGCAAGACGAAAAATCCGCTAGACGAAGAGAATCGCGGAACGGATTCTTTTCGTCTTGCGAGGCACCACTGTAATTCCATAAGGTGAAGATTTAAGGATGTTAATGTTTAAGTTAAATCTCATAAGAATTGGGATTTGGAAAACCGTTCAAAGGACAGGCAATGAAATTCAACCAAGGGGAAGCGAGGAAGTCACCGAACAAAGTTAATAAGTGTAATTTTCAATAAGGTTATGATTTATGTTTGTTTGTTTGTCTTGTGTGTTTGTTTGTCTGTTTATAATATTGTGAAAACCAATAAAATTTGTGGGGGGGTGGGAAGAAACCGTGACATCCCCGTCTGCTTTCCTCCCCCCCGAGGCTACTCCGTCCGAACAGGCGTCCTCCACGAACCGCCGCAGGAGAACTTTCCGGAGGCGGAGGAAGCGGACCCGGGCGAGTCGCCATCCGAGCCGTCGCCTGCTAAGCCCCCCAGGAAAGTCCTCCCGGACCGGGCCCGTGCCGCCCGGGACAAGGCCAACGAGCGCATCGTCGAGTTCATCGTGAAGTCCAAGGGGGCGGACGACCACCTCCGCTCCATCCTAAGGAGGAAGAAGCCGTCGCGCTGGTTCAGCGACTTCGGCGTCGCCCGGCCATACCTGCCCTGCATAGAGATTTACCTGGAGGATGACCACCAACAGGAACTGGTTCTCAACTACCTGCGACGGGTTTACCAAGAGGCAGACCCCAAGGTGCTACCCGAAGTGAGCCGGGACAGTATCAAGTTCATCTTGGACGTCTTGTTCCCCGAGGTAAATCACAGCCTTTTTTAAAGGAGTTGGGACACAAGGAGCTGCCTGAACTGGTGCTACCAGCACTGGCTGGCAGCAGCTCTCCGGGATTTCACAGATTCCCTGAAAATGCTGCCACGGATCGGACATCCGATCCTTTGTTGTTGTTGTTATCGTCGTTTAGTCGTGTCCACCTCTTCGTGGCCCCCTGGACCAGAGCACGCCAGGCCCTCCTGTCTTCCACTGCCTCCCGCAGTTTGGTCAAACTCATGCTGGTAGCTTCGAGAACACTGTCCCACCGTCTCGTCCTCTGTTGTCCCCTTCTCCTTGTGCCCTCCATCTTCCCCAACATCAGGTTCTTTTCCAGGGAGTCTTCTCTTCTCATGAGGTGGCCAAAGTCTTGGAACCTCAGCTTCAGGATCTGTCCTTCCAGTCAGCCCTCAGGGCTGATTTCCTTCCGAATGGAGAGGTTTGATCTTCTTGCAGTCCATGGGACTCTCAAGAGTCTCCTCCAGCACCAGAATTCAAAAGCATCAATATGGGATCCTTAGCGCCACGCTACTAAGCTGCGGTTCTCCCCCTAAAGACAAACTAAGATTCTAGCCCTAACGATTTTGAATAAGGTGCCGATTTTACACAAGGTCAGTTAGATCCTCGGTCAATATTGCCCACACTGGCTGGCAGTGGCTCTCCAGGGTCTCAGCCCTACCTGGAGATCAAACTTTCTGCATGCAAAAGGTGTGCTCTAACCACTGAGCCACAGCCCTTCCTTTGCATTCCAGAACCCTTCATGAATGTGTCAAACATAAAAAGGTAAAGGGACCCCTCACCATTAGGTCCAGTCGTGGCTGACTCTGGGGTTGCGGCGCTCATCTCGCTTTACTGGCCAAGGGAGCCGGCGTACAGCTTCCGGGTCATGTGGCCAGCATGACTAAGCCACTTCTGGTGAACCAGAGCAGCGCACAGAAACACCGTTTACCTTCCCGCCAGAGCGGTACCTATTTATCTGCTTGCACTTTGTGCTTTCGAACTGCTAGGTTGGCAGGAGCAGGGACCGAGCAACGGGAGCTCACCCCGTCATCGCGGAGATTCGAACCGCCGACCTTCTGATCGGCAAGTCCTAGGCTCTGTGGTTTAACCCACAGCGCCCCCCTGTGTCAAATATACTTGCAAATTTTCTTTCGCTTTGCCCCCAGGCCATCATCTATGCCATTTCAGCCGTGGACCATATCGACTACAAGAAAGCGGAAGAGATATACTTGAGAGGGCCTCTGGTGAGCCAAAGGTAACTCCTTCCATCGCTTCTTATCTATAACGGCTTTGGGGAAACTTGCAAAAAAGGGCGAGAATGCGCTAGTATTGCTGGGCTCCCCCTCTAGTTGTGGTTAGCTTAAAAAAAAGGTAAAGGTAAAGGACCCCTGGAGGTTAAGTCCAGTCAAAGGCGACTATGGGGTTGCGGCGCTCATCTCGCTTTCAGGCCGAGGGAGCTGGCATTTGTCTGCAGACAGCTTTCCGGGTCATGTGGCCAGCAGGACTAAACCGCTTCTGGTGCAATGGGACACCGTGACGGAAACCAGAGCACACGGAAACGCCGTTTACCTTCCTGCCGGAGCGGTACCTATTGATCTACTTGCACTTTGACGTGCTTTCGAACTGCTAGGTGGGCAGGAGCAGGGACCGAGCAACGGGAGCTCACCCCGTCGCGGGTTATTCGAACCGCCGACCTTCTGATCGGCAAGTCCTAGGCTCTGTGGTTTAGACCACAGCGCCACCCTGCGCCCCCAGTTGGCTTAATCATACAAATGTTTTCCACAAATGCATCTGTGGTCAGAGCAATTCAGGTAAAGAAACAGCAGCACTTCTGGCACTTTCCTCCCTGCAAGATGCCAAGGTTGCAGGGAACCAGGCAAAGGGCCTTCTCGGTGGTGGCGCCCACCCTGTGGAACGCCCTCCCATCCGTCGTCAAGGAAATAAACAACTACCTGACTTTTAGAAGACCTCTGAAGGCAGCCCTGTTTAGGGAAGTTTTTGACGTTTTATCCTGTTTTTAATATTCTGTTGGGAGCCGCCCAGAGTGGCTGGGGATGCCCAGCCAGATGGGCGGGGTATAAATAATAAATTATTTTTAAAAATAAGAAATTGTCCAGTAGCACCTTAGAGACCAACTAAGTTTCTTCCGGGTATAAGCTTTCGTGTGCATGCACACTTCTTCGGACAACTTCATGCATGCACACGAAAGCTTATATCCAGAACAAACTTTAGTTGGTCTCTAAGGTGCTACTGGACAATTTCTTATTTTTTTAATTTATTTCCACTGCGTCAGACCAACACAGCTACCCACCTGAATCTAATAAATTATTATGTAATTCCAAATGTCCACGTCTTTGGCAAAATTTAGTCCGCTGTTGCTCCGTTAACTTCTCCACACATTACTGTATTATTTTTTGAATCCACGAGCTTAGATTTTGTTGTGTGTGTCCCCCCCCCCCCACATTTTCTGTCTCTCTATCCTTCAGGGAAAGAGAAATCTTCGAGGAAGAAATCCTAGAAAAGAAGAGGAGAAGAAATTTGCAGAGGAAGAGGCCTCCTCTGGAAGCCAGTGTGTGAAGCCTTTTCCCCTCGTCCCCGTCCCAGAGGACACAGAACAAGTTCTACATCAGACTTGTGACATGAAATAGGAAATGCGTATTCTGTATAGGACATGAGAGCCTTTATTTTTAAATATATATATATATATATATCTGTATCAAATATACTGTAAGAAGTACATGTGATACCAGAACCACGACAATCCCGCCAGGGCAAACGGGACTTTTGTGTCAGTGAAACCCTCTCTCTTTCTCTGCCTTGAGAGCAGCCCAAAAATAAATAATATAGCGGTGTTTGTGACGCCCTGGGTGATGGCTTGTGCAGGAACCGGTGGCGGTTTGAGAGAGGACTTACTTCCCTGGTGCCAACAAACTCAATGTTTTGAGCTACAGCCCCAGGCTGATGGGAGTTGTAGTCCAAAACATTTTTGAACGGATGTCTGCCCTGCCAGCTCCCGCTCCTGGCGGACCTCCACGTCTCAGTTAACGCTGGAAGCAAAAAATAAATTAAAAATGTGTGTGTGTTCATAGGAAACGCTTTTACCCCTCTCCCCTTTTAAATGGCCTCCAGAGGCTTCTCTGGATCCTGAAGAGGAAAAAAACTTTGCTGTTGTCGTCTAAAATCCTGTTCGCCCGGCTTTTGGCAAAGGTTTCAAAAGCTGGAGGCGCGTCAAATTAGGGGCTTTTCCTTCCTGACACAACCAGGAGTCACCTCAGTTAGGTTCACAGTCTTCCATCCCCAATCCCGTTATGAATTTTAAAACCCGGCCGGCTCAGGTGTTATTAATTTGATGAGAGCTAAAACAGCCTTGTACCTTCTTCCACCCGTACCGAATCGTTCCATCCTTACTCCATCTTTTAAGCTTTTTGTGCAAAATTCAATAAAAAACAATAAAACTTCTCAAAACCACGACAGACTGGTTTCTTGTGTCCTTTGGAAGAATTGCAACGCTGGACTGGGCAACCAGCTGTTTTCTCAATAGTTTCTTTTTTATTTTTAACAGAGGGGTTCTTTCTCTCTTTTTTTGCAAAAACAGCGGCGAGGGACATGGATAGTGTTGCATCCCGGAAGATTTCAGCTTGGAAATAATCCTAAATCGTTTCTCCGGGCTTCTGAGAGGAGAGCTTGCAGCGAAAGCCAGCAAGGGGCGTAGCGATAACACCAAAAAAAGCAATTTAATTTCTGGCATCTAACCCTTGTCTGTCCCATCTCTCAGCTCTGGGTCAGGCCAGGGTCTAGACCAGTTTCCCAAACTTGAGTCTCTAGATATTTCTACATAGCAGGAGATGATGGAAGTTGTAGTCCAAAAACAGCTGGTCGTTATCCAGGGTTGTTATGAAGGTCAAACGGGAAGCGGGAGAACCATGTCCTTGACGGAAAAAGCAAGGATACTAATGTGATAATGAAATAATGGGCTGGCCTAAATAAATTAACTGTAAGCTTCTTGGGGCGAAGACCTGCCTGTTCATGATTGCTGCGTTGCGATTGCAATTGTCAATTTATAGAGTTTATTTATAGATTTATATAGTTTATTTCAAGTATATTTATTATAGACAGCTTTTTCGGGGGGGGCAGCGTGGTGAACAGGGTGGGAGGGAGGGAGCCAGAAGAAGATCAAACTATTTGACGTAGGCAAAACACCCAAAAGCCCATAAAATAGCAAGTTTAAGAATTGCATAAATCAAAGCAGATCAACAAGTTATCATCGCTGCCGACATTAGCTCTATCAATCAGCAAGCTAATTGGGCGATTCATAATCAATAGTAAATAATGAATGGCTTGCTCTAGCCTATGGGAATAATAATAATAATAATATTGGGCAGTTAGGCTCCTCTGATTCATAGGGAATAATGATAAATGACAGGCTCTTGTTTATGGGAATAAGAAGACCATGGGCTGATCAGCTTGTGTGATTTGTGGCAATAAAAATAAGATGTTAAAGATAATATCACCAAACCCACAATGAAATTAAGAGGCAGAGACGACAACGAATTTACGGAAGAACAGAAGATGCTTTTTGCTCACATACAGAAGCACTGCACACAGGTTAATACATTAGCAGGGTTTTAAAAGGGCTTGCAATTTTACATTGAATGGATGATAGGTGATTTAAATAT